CTTTGAATGAAAAAAGAAATGAAATCCTCAAAACATGAGCATATTCATATCCTCATGTTTTGAGGATATGAATATGCTCATGTTGTAATATAAACCAGTTTCCTTTTCTCAGATGCCGCAGATAGATGAGTAAGAAAATGTTTCTTTACTGATAAACTGATAATGGCTTGAAAGTGTGAGAAAGGCCAACCTTTGCATTGGTAGTGAAGCTACTTCAGCGTTTTTTGCAATTTCATACCGTCCCTTAGAGGTGACGTGTACCTGTTTCAAAAACCATCGTTTTAAAGTCAATTACTGTAGTATGTTAGTAAATCTATGTTTTAGTGAAGACCGCCATCAAGCAGAAGATTGCTCAAAGACATGTTTATCATAATATGGTTAAAAAACACTCATGGTATTAGCAAAAATGTTAGAAAAATTATTCCTACTGCTGAAAACTCTGCTGATTATTAAGGTTAGAATGTTAAATGCTATATATTTACAGCTTTTATACTGTTCCAGTATTAATTAGGATTGAATAATATATATCCTACTGACAGTCAGTTGTTTAGCAAGGTAAAACAAGCCAATATTAGTCAATTAATTATTTTTATAACAATCCGAATGACCAAGAAACTAAACATCCAACATCTAATAAATGACAGAGAAACTATTAGGTGATGATTGAAGTCAATAGGCACAGAATAATTTTTACAGGCACAAATCGGGAATAGGTGAGCATGAAATGGTCACGCAGCAAACTGAGCAAACTAACCTGTTGCCCTGATTTCTGAAGTATTCGATCAGGTAATGTTTTACAAGTTTGCTTGTAAAACACCAGCTGCACTATAAATACAACAAGTGTGTTTCTTACGACACTTGATTGGGTAAAAAACAAAGAAGGGAAAAAAAAAAAAAAACACAGTTTGCAAAAACATGTCATGCCAACATATCAATTAGCACCCACCAGGAAGTCATTTCATTCCCTTTATGTCAACTAGCAACTTAAATGTACTATTATGTACTCAGGTTGCTGAAAGGACATATAGCTATGTTTATATTTACTTAATATTTTCAAGCAGGAGGATTATCAGTTATTTGATCTCATCAAGGGTTGTAATCACTCATATTCCATAAAAGTCAACAACTAGACCGAATCAGAATCACTACCAATGAATATCAGGTATAAGGAAAACTGTTTAGAAAATAACTAAATGCATTAATACATACAATCCGAGTACAAAATGGTTGCTTTACGTGTGCAAACTGTTATTGTGTGGGTAGTAAATGTCAATGAAGCATACTGACCAGCAGCTTTGATTTCACACATGAAATCCTGGATAAACTGCTTTTGTTTACATTAACTGATCCATTATAGTTCTCAGAACACAGGTTCAAAGAACTTTAACCCGGGTAAGATAACTGAACATCAAATTGTGGTATACTTACAAAGGATATACAGGCAGCAAGTAAAAGGATCCTCACAAGCAGATCTTCAAACTGTTCAATCACCAGCTCCCAAAGGGATTTGCCTAGCGAGAATGAAGATTCGTGAATTAAGGATTTCTTTAAAACGATCTGAAAGATAGAAAATTTAGTGTAGATCTTCAAATTGTCTTCTTACCCTCTTCTGCTGGTAATTCTGCAGAACATCCATCCCATCGACGCCGCAAGGGAGAGAGATGGAAAGGCAATTAGCTAAATGTGATTACTTGTTGCGGGGTATTGAGTGTGTTGATAGCACTCCACATTAATATCAGCAAATCAATGTATTGCCAATACATTAACGTATGTGATGTTTCACAATATTTCAACATCACACTGTGACATCAACAAGCTTCCCTTTTCTTTGGCTTGTCATTACATTATGGCCCACACATGAGCCGGGTAATTAGCCTGTTCTTGTTTTACAATAAACACATTACGCTTAGCTCCTTACCGTTAGGTCCAAATCGCTCCCGTTGTTTCTTTACCTCCTCTAAACTCAGACCTGTGCTCTCATTTACGTTGAAAAAGTTGAAAACTTCCTCCACCGTCTTCGTGTGTGCGTTGTCCATGGTGAACGGCCACTCGAGGACACAGCTTGTTCCCGCTGCTCCTAACCTTTAACCGGACTCGGTCCTGTTCCTCCACCCGGTGTTCCCACACGCGTTTAAAAGAAAAACGAGTACGGAGAGAAATACTGGAGCCAAAGTCCACAGTCAGGAGCGTAAGCTGTCAGGTAGTTGTACACAGGACAGCGTGGGACGCAGGTGTACGCCGAGAGCGAACGAATTAGTGGCTCGCTTTGCTAACCAGAAGCTAACAAGCTAAAGCTACGTTGCCTCAGCTTGAAATCGCCGGCTGTGCTCCGCTAGCTTTTTGGTGAGACCGTTTAACAAGAATCCATATCAGCACCAGACCAGTTGAAGACTATCACTCTCGTCCACTCGTTTTAAAGTCGGTAAATCCTAAAACAGTCTTTCTAAATGGATAATTTAACCATGTGTTTGAGTTGCGGCTCGGCTGCTCTCGCCCGCTACCAGACTGTGTGTTGCGGAATCACCAGGGTTGTGATCGGCACCAATCGCGTTTCTTCGTCGAATGCGGAGTTCAGTGTCCGCATGTGGAATCTGCTCATTGGTTGAACAAACCGGACGTCCTACTTTCTCTGTCCACGATGCGATTGCTGTTCGTTGGGCTGTATCTTGCGTCATAGCCGTGTACAGCTCAGATAGCGTTCATGATCTGATTTTTTTTTTTAAGACAAAACACTGTTAATTTTAACAATATCTAAAATACGGACTAGGTTGTTTAACTGATACACTATCATTTAACAAATACAAGGGTAAATATGAAATTAATGTTAGATAAATTATTTAGAGGGCTTATGCTTGTTTATTTATTACCAGTTTATAATAGTATCTAATTATTTGATAAATTGCTCACTTTGAATTGACACTGCTATGACATCCTAATGTATGCAAATAATAGATGGGAGTATTTCATATTTAATCTATTAAATTTGCTAAATTTATTTCTTTGTTGATATATATATATATATATATATATATATATATATATATATATATATATATATATATATATATGTCAGACTATCATAAAATTGATATTTAACACTATAGTGTGCATAAAATAATTAGTGTATGACTGAATTTTATTACTGAAATCCGTTTATTTTCAGGATCAGCTTTTGTAGTTGAGGGAGATGGACTTTACGCAACTTTTATAAGGTGAGAGTCAGATTACACACTATGCAATTTGCTGGGTCATTGCTAAGCCAAGACACTGAGACAAACAACAAAAAGAAATTCACATTCATATCTTTAGTAGATTCTTAATAAGAAAATAAAGATGTTTGTCCCGCTATATTCATTTACTAAATTATTTTTGTTTTTTGGGGGGATTTTTTTTTTTTTTTTTACCAAAAGTACTTGGTAAGAGTCTTATTTTGTGGCTACAATACGCTAAATATGTATACTGATTGCTTTTCTTGTATTTGTGTTTCTATCAAATGTTTCTGCAAAGCAACATTGTCCTAAAATGACTGTCTAAAATGCTGTTGTATTTTTTTGGTTGTCTTTTTTTACTTAACCATGACCTTCATGGTAACTGGATTGCAATTCTACAGGCAATCTTAACAAATTTTTATAAAATAAGATCTTGCCCCAACAATCAGCTGCAGTTCTGAAGACAGCACGGCCCCTCATCAGTTTGAAGGTGTCTGATTTGATTTGAAAATTCACCACTTCAAATGTAAAAGTTTAACGGATTTCCATTACAGCAGTAACACTACTTTGTAAGTCCCTTTGAATAAATGCACCTGCTGAATGAACACGTGAATGGGCTTCTTAAATTAAATTTGTCAGTTCCCACAAAAAAAGGATGAGGTAGCAAAGTTTGTTACCTAGTTCTCACCCTTTTTGGTTCTGCCTATGAAAATGTCCAGTCTCTGACTGGAAATTCAAATTAGTGATATAACAAAATGGTTCCTATCTTTCACTTTTTATCTTCTTATTGTGGTGTCAAAAAGCCTTTATCCATCAAATAAGTCCTGCGAGTTGTTTTTGAAATTAAATAAATCTACCTTCGGAAGCCTGAGAGAGACAAGTCTTTTTATCACTTCTCATCAGATTTCCGAAAGAAGCTCCAGACACGCTGTCAGTCTCAAGTTTCATCCTGCAGTACCTGTTGTCTATCTGAAAGACAAGTTTCCTTCCAGACACCTAGATAAATAGATACTGCTACTTGTCCATTATGATAAGGAAAAACAAGTTTGTGCAGCTCAGTTTTACAGATAAGTAAATAATAGAATTCATCAATAACCTGCTTGGGTACAGAACGTCTGTCTGATGGTTCGTGCAACTTATTTACCATTATAGTTTAACAAGGTTTTTGCTGCACTTTTTGACCCAATAAAGTGCAGTGGGATGTTGAAATAACTCTTCGACATCTCTTCTGCCTGAAATGATTTTGTGAGTTGATTCAATGAGTTTTTATGCTTGAGAATTTTAAATAATTTTTTTTAAAAATATTAAAAAATAATGAACTAAAACAAACAAATCCAAATTAATATTGGTTTTTTTATCCCCAAATAACCAACTATAAATAAAACAATAAAATATATTGTTTTTTCCTTCAACAGATGGCATAATACGTGAGCTGATCCATGATGTAAAATCTTCAAAAAACTGTTTAATTTTTGTTGCAATAGGGTAACATTTTGCATATAATCATATATTGGGCACATTGGTTGGTGCTTCAGACTCTGAATTTGACCTCTTCCATTTAAACCTATGCCAAAAACTGACACTGCTATTTGACTGTTGTAGTTGAAATTGAGATTCCTTGAATCAGGTAGTCTTTCTGAACTGTTATTGTAATACTTTGGTGAATTGTTCTTCTGATGACATCTGGCATTTTCCCCTCCTGATATAAGGTTCAACATGTTGGCCAAAGACTACATATCTTGGTTGTAAAGAACCAATCGACTTTTACTTTCTATAAGTAAAAGTACTTATGGGGCTGAATTACCTAATAAATATGCAGTTACGTTCTACGAAGTCCTGCAAATTACTTAATTATTTGACTCAGGTGTGTCAAATAACATCTAAAAGTTGCAGGACTTGATGACTGGATTTGAAGACCCTAAGCTAGAGCATCTGGGTGCTACCTTTTGCAACACCCATCAGAGAAATCTGAAGTATTGACATTTTCAGAGACTGCTCAGTAGTTGGGGATGAGATGGCAGAAAAGGAGCTCAACCAGATATCAGTCATTCAAGAACCGCCACACCTCCATGCCGTGTGTGGGTGTAATTAGACTATTACTAGTGTCACAATGAAATTCTTCCAAAATTCCTGTTCACACGTGAAATTACTTCTTGGTAATTTTTGATGCACCCAACAGTGTGATTTTTCAGGTTATCAGACTGGCTCCACCTTGGTTGCACCACAAGAACCACAAGAATGTCAGTTACATATTTCCATTCTCTGCCTTGTAGGCATTCATTTTCTTCCAAACTTTAACTTTGGGTTTATAAGGCTAAGTAGATTATATTGGCAAGATATGCAAGACATGATACTTAGCAATCCTGTGATAGTTGCATGACAGAATGTGAAAAATGTATTGCTAAACAGGTGAATTCTCAATGTCACATTAAGTGGTTCCCACTAGATGTTCCACATCACATCCTGTTTTCACCCCAACATGTTTGTGATTCCAGCTGACAACTCTGGCACCTTATAAGGTAGTAGGAAAAATGTGATTTATCTGACAGGATCCCACATTGAGCTAGTTTACATAAAATACTTGGACTTTTGTTAAGGTGTCCTTGAGAGAGACTTCCCAGGAAGGGAAGTGCTTATTTTTCTTGGTAGCAAAATATGACTCAAATAGTTATCAAAATGCCACAGTGACATGAGTCACAGCACAATAAAATTAGTGGATACCATAACACAAACAACATAACATGCTTCTTTGAAATTTAGATACAGACAGACTTACGGATCGACGTACGAACGGACTTATAGATGCATGTGCTGTTTGGTATTTTATTTGTCTTTCGTGTTCTCTAAGCTGAATAATTTTTTGGTGTAACATTTTTTTTTTACTAAAAAAAATTGTATGACTTTTTCAAGGACAATTGGATATGAATGAAAAATAAATTACATCCTTGAATGACGTTGAAGGAATTTCAAACTAATGCGATATTACTGCCCTCAAGTGGTCAAACGCAATAATACAGCTTCAGTTTTTTTCTGACCTTCACAGACAAACATTGAAAAACTATCTGGTGAAAGTAAGGATTTTATTTTCATTTATATTGCTATTTTATTAATCTGCCATAAATAGTTAAAAGAGAAAGACTGCTGATAAAATTCAGAAATCCTTGTTTTTTTTATGAAATAAGAAGCATGTTTCAAACAAGTTCAATAAACAAATTATATTTAATCTTATAAGATAAAACTTAAAAACATAAAAATACAAAAAGATCCTAATAAATCTGACTTTTAGGAGATAAGAACAACTGACCCTCATCTGTCAACATGTTACTGAAAAACATCTGTACAAGATTTTTTTGTTTGTTTTAAATACAATGTACTAATGATTCATTTCAATCATTCCCACAATAACAGATTATTGGATTCTTAACTATTCTAAGCTTTTTGGTTTTATTTAAGACATGTGGAAACATTGATAGTGGTGTTTTTAGATCTTATTTGTACACATAGTCCAGGTTGCAGCTGAACTTGAAAACAATTTAAGAAATATGTAAAAAAAAATTTCAGTGTTTTACCTTTTATGTACAAGAACCAAACAAAATAAGACAAACTAACAATTCCAATGATTAATGTATGTTGGGTAAAGACTACCCTGACCTAAAGACCCTGCCTCTCAGTGGATGACCACTGGTCATCTGCTTATCATTCATTCAGAGATAAATCTGTTTTCTCTCAGAATAAAGCCCAATTCCAGACCAACCCATGGCATACAATCTCTCCTTTGATTTTTACGGCACTATTTAATGAACTTTCATCAAGCAACTTTCAGTTACTTATGTTAAAAGTGGGAGGTTTGTTGAACATAAGCAAGTAAATATTATTATTACAGTGAGGGCATTTCACTGCATTTCCATAAGCCGTGGTTACATCAGGCCCAGAGGCTTGAGAATAGGAATGTTCGTTCGAAGATGTAGAGGATTGCGGATCAGAAACGGGACCAGGAGCCGTGTCTGGCAGAAAAGGCTTCACAGTGGGTGCAGCATCAGGCAGGAGAGGCTCCACAGAAGATGGCGCACCTTGCAGGAGCGGCTTCTTAGACGGGGGGATGACTTGCAGGAGAGATTTCACAGACGGCGAAGAAAGTAGCTTAATAAGATGGTCATTAGGGAGTGAGGTGGGTGGCAGACATGGCTCTGGGCTTGGATCTTTTTCCATAAATCCCTCACATAGCAGTAAATGCCTCTTCATATCCAAACGGCGCATGACTGTTCTAGAACAGATGGGGCAGTGGAAATGTCCCTGTGGCCTACAATGAAGGCTGCATCGGAGTAAAATTTTGTCTGCAGAAGAAAAAAACAAAAATGCATAAGAAATAATATAAATACACAATATTGCTAAAGTATTGGGTGACTTACTGATTCACACAAATTCATTTTACTGACATCAACTGCTCTTGAGTGTAGTGTTTGCATGCTTTACACCTTGGCCTTTGCTTTGCAGTTGGTAATCCAAGGGTAGTGTGCAGCTTCATGGGCATGGCAACCAATCCCATGAAGCTATCTACACAATGTTTTTGAGTTAATCTGAAGGCTGCATGAAGTTAGGAAGTCTGCAGATTTACCCTGGATAACATTGGCAACCTCTGCACAAAGCGCCTGGGAATCCGCCAATCCTACTCAGTCTGGATAAAAACAATCACCATAAATATAAATGTATGGATTTTCCATAAATATAAATGTATGGAAAATATCAAACCTTTTAGGGTGAATAACAGGAGTGTGCTTTGTGTGTGTTGCTATTAAGTAGTCACAGCTATTTATTTGACAAGTGATTCATAACACAACAATATCCAAAAGGCAAACAAAATAACTATCAAATGATGCCCAGATGTAAAATAAGAGCATAAAGACAGGAACAGCATTATCTATATCTTCACCAGAGTTGAAGGTAGACACACTATCCAGGCAGGTAACCATTGGAGACAAGATAGGATCACATTACAAGTTTATTACTTGGACAATACACTAAAGTTGTGACATGACAAAATGTTAACTGGCCCATGAATTCATTTACAAAGCACTTTACATTCAGGCACACACCAACGTACCTTTGTAAGGCAAACCATGACTAATGTGGTGGTTCATGTGTTTCTCAATCCTTTCCTTCACTGTGGGGTCAAAGTTGGGACAAATGGGGCAGTGGAACAGTTTATTACAGCATGTGTTGCATTCTTCCAATGGAATCTTTGAGTTGAGATCAAAGATTGAGACGTGCATCTGAAAGTAGTGCAGGGAAACAGCAGTTAAAGATTTTAACTACTTTTACAGTTTCATTCAATCTCATTTTGGACTAAGCTAATATACAATCATTTTAACAAGAAAGTACATCCTCTTTCAAGTCTATGGTTTTGTATGTTAGGACAAAAATAGCAAGGATAGTCCTTACCACATCCAAAAGGTATTTAAATTTAACCTCAAATCAGGGTTGCAATCATAGAAGGTAGTGCAATTGTGATCATTTTACTAAATGTTGCAATGGTAAAATCAGCTGCGATAAATCCACATTATTTTGATGTTATGCTCTCCAGACGTACATCAAATGTTCAAAATCACAGAATTTTATCATTTATTTAACACATATTAAGTCAAAGTGGAAAAGCCCAGGAGAAGGTTCACTCCATTCATTAACAGCTCTTAACATGTCACTGAATGAGATGCAGAACAGCTTCAGAAAAACTATATAATGTATATGAAGACAAAATGGCATTCTTACAGTCCTAGATAAATATCAATGGCTGAGAACAAAGCAAATATAAAAGGTAGGTAATTTAAGTGGCTTTCAATTTTGCGTACAAAGGAAGGAAATATTTAATCTAGTTGACGGTCCATCTGATGCATGCAATTGCTTAATTCAAACAAAAAAGATTAAAATAAACTTTTATGCTTAAATTGCTAACACTACTTTTAATTTCAATAAACAGCAAAGGTGATATTAATCTGAGGGAAAACCTTGCAACACAATGCACCCAGTAGGTTTCTCTCCATGCAATCTTAAGATACAAACAGGAACTCACATGTTGAAATAAAACTAACCTTGTCGTGGAGCTCAATTCTGCATGCGGAGGTAGAGCCAACCTATTTCCGCCTTCTTTGGAGATCACGTGTTTCCGCTTACCGTGGAAAACACGGAATCTCGCGATATTTTTGAGGTCAAAGTTAGCAGCACCATGTGTGACTGAGAAGAACATCTCTGATTGTTGCATACAGCATTTTATACGGGACATTTAAGTTTTTTGGCACGCTTACTCTGTTCGTCGAAGTTTACGAAGAGTTACAATTACCGGCTGTTTAATGAACGTATCTCGCGATATTTTTTCTCAGCTGATGGAGCAGGTTGCATGCCGACGCTGCTGCAGGAACCTCTGATGAGTTTTTTTAGCTTGACATGTTTAAAACAAGACCACTGTTAAGTGCCTTAGTTAACTACAGACAGTTGTTAGAGACAAACGGTAGGTCAAGAAAACAAAATCTACATATTTATTATTTCTGGTGTGATCTCGTTTCCTGGTTTCACAAATGTACAGTGCTATATTTACAGGTTTAAAGTTATTGTGCACAATGAGTGAAGAAGCCAGAGATCAAGAGACAGCCAAGCTGTTAAAAAGGCCAAATGAGGTGAATGAGGACTCAGCTGAGAGCGCCACGAAGAGAATAAAAGCAGAAGGGGAGCACAATGAAGATGACAAGAGGTTCCCAAAGAAGAAAGTGGTCCTTCTTTTGGCATATTCTGGAAAGGGATACTATGGCATGCAGGTATTTTCCTTTACTACATGTAGCAATATTGCAAAAACCGTGAACTTCATAAGAAGTGGATGAGTCCAACCACACTTAAAAATATCTGATAATAATAATAAACCTCACTACTTGGCACTTGTTTATTATTCTTAACTTTTTTGTAATGTATTTTAATGGATAACTTTTATTAATTATGCCATCTGTCCACCTGCTTTTTTTCTTTTAGAGAAATCCTGGAAACTCCCAGTTTAGAACGATTGAAGATGATCTGGTCACTGCTCTAGTTAAATCTGGTTGCATTCCTGGAAACCACGGTGATGACATGAGGAAGATGTCCTTCCAAAGATGTGCCAGAACAGACAAGGTACGTGTTCATGCACCTCAAATATGCACTGCAAGACTGATGGGGGAAAAAAATTTACAAAAAAAAAAAGTTATTTGTCTTCATTTGCCATATTGTTGCTAAAAAAAAACTTAGGTACGAAAGAAATGTGTTGTTTTGCTCCTAATTGATGATAGCTACGCTATTTTTTTTATTTTTTTATTTTGTAGGATGTTGTAAATTTAGTCAAGTTTTTTTTTTTGTAACAGATACATTGTTACATTTTTATCTTTCTTCAGGGTGTTTCTGCTGCTGGTCAAGTGGTTTCACTGAAGCTCCGTTTGATTGAGGACATAATAGAAAAAATCAATGAGAATTTACCACCACAGATCAGGGTGCTTGGTAAGACTGTTGTATTAGAAATAAGAGGGACTGGAAAATTAGCTGGTGAACAAGACTGACTTTCAGTTTATTTTTCCTGGCTGATGCCCAAGAACTAACAGGTCACATTGGTCCTTATCCAAGTTGTAACTGTAGTTGTTACTGAAGATTCAGATCATGCATTTTTTTCCACCACTCTTCTGTATCTGCATCACTAAACGGATTATGAGCCTGTCAACCCAACCTTTAACCTTATGCATTGCTCAAATGAGGGCTGTCATGCAAAGTGCTATGCTAATCACTACAATTATATGCTGTAAAATGAAAAATGAAAATGCAAATACTGTTATTTATAGTCATTAACGTGCTAAAATATGCATTGACAGGTCAAATGTTTAGAAAAACTTGATTCACCTCTAATACATTTGATTGGAATCCATGGATGTGCTTCTGATGTATTTATTCATTTTTTGCTGCAACAGGGCTCAAGCGAGTGACCCAGGGATTTAATTCCAAAAATAACTGTGATGCCCGTACGTACGCCTACATGCTCCCAACTGTAGCCTTTTCTCCTAAAGACTATGACACCGAGAACATAGCGGCATTTCGTCTAGCAGCAGAGACTCTTCAGAAGGTGAACCAACTTTTTGCCCTCTACAAAGGCACCCATAACTTCCACAACTTCACCTCCCAGAAGGCTCCAAGTGACCCCAGCGCCCGCCGCTACATCACAGAGATGTCCTGCGGAGAGCCTTTTGTCCGCAACAGCTACGAGTTTGCTGTGATCACCGTGCGAGGCCAGAGCTTTATGCTGCACCAGATTCGCAAGATGATCGGCCTGGTGATCGCAGTGATCAGAGGCTTCGCCAAGGAGGAGGTGATGGAGCGAAGCTGGGGTCAGGAGAAGGTGGACGTCCCAAAAGCTCCGGGACTCGGGCTGGTACTCGAGAGGGTTCACTTTGATCGGTACAACAAGCGCTTCGGAGGGGACGGTCTGCATGAGCGGCTAGAGTGGGATCGCGAGGAGGAGGCGATCAAGGCCTTCAAAGAGGCTCACATATATCCTACCATTGTCAAGACGGAATGTGAGGAGGGCTCCATGCTCAGCTGGATGGCCACACTTCCCAGCCATGACTTTGAAGCAACAGTTACTGGAACACAAGACAATAAGGACCAAAAACAGGTGCATCAGTTATTAATTTGATAATTAAATGTATTGCATTGGGGGGGAAAAATACATTGTTATATTGTAGCTAATTGTTTGTCCCATTTTTCGCTACAGGAGAATGCAGATGAAGGGAACGGCTCCGATTAGACCGTCTGTGGAGAGACGCCTTTTTTATTTTTTATTTTTGGTATTATCTCTGATTTTTTGTTTTAAATATTAAGAACAATTATGTTTAACAACTGGCATAATAAAATAATTATCAATTATCTAATGTCATCTTTTTAATTCTTGGTGGTCATTTCATTTAAATTAATATATATGCTTAATTAACGGTACTCATTCTGTGTTTACCCAAACAATTAATGTCTAAGACATCAGTTGTTCTGGGTAAACACAGAATGAGTACCATTCTCATTCTAAAAATCTTAATTCTGATTAGATTCAATTTGTGAATTTTACCCTAAATCAAAAACCTTTTATTTTTTGGTTCTGATTTATTTCCAACATTTCTGACTGTGTGTCTTGTATTTTTTATCAACAGTAAAAAATAAAGTAATTTAGTCCTTTGAGTCAATCATATCCCTAAGATATCTTTTTTTTTTTTTGTATGGAACTAAAATTGATGAAGCAGATACTCTCTAATCTTTATTTATTTTTATTTTTTTAGAGAGCACCATCTACTGGTAGTCAGTTGACACGTTTTAATTCAGCACAGTAAGTTACTAGATTTCCTGATTATGTTTATGTAGTAAATTTGTTGTTAAAATGGTCACCTACAATTATTTACAATAATTATCAAAAACCAAATTGTAATGCATCAAAAGTAGACATTTAACATTTTTTATATAACTAATACTTTCCAGAATAATTTAAAATGTTCAATAATAACTCTTAAAGTTTGGACATATTTATTAAAACCATAAAAGCATTAGTAAATAATTTCATTCCCGTGACACACCATGCAATTTAGTTTTTCAGAATTAGTTGTCAAGCTCGGTCTAATTTAGATGAGCAGTTTGGTCTGGAATTATGTTGTGCAGATTGACCTATTTTGCTGTTTATTTGACGAGCCACATATAGACAAATTAAGTCACTTGCACACCAAAATGCACAATAGGTATGCGAGCGTTGCACATTTGGGCAACTTCCAGGTTTTCTTGCAGCAAATGTAGCTAACATATGATTTAATAATATCCGGAAATCATGAGGGTTTTCCCTCGCATTCAATATTTCCCGATTTAGATTGAGGTCACGACGAGTCCTCGCGACACAAACTGTGATACACGTCTGTTTTTGTGTAAGCCCTTTGTCCTATTCTCCGGTGGATACGCGAACGCACCACACAGTCAACAAACATGGCGCCGGCCAAAAAGCGCAACGTGAGTTCTAAAGCAAATGCAAAAAAGATCAAAATCGACTTTGAAGGTATAGTTGAGCGTGTACTTAAAAGTAGAAAACATGCCAACGATGTTTTTGACGTTCTCGAGTTTCTTCAGGTGAGAAAATATTGAAACACCCAACAAACATTGACATCTACCGCATACACGTTTCGTTGAGCTAATGCCTGCATGCTTGTCCACGTTTGCTTCCTAAATGTACATAGTCAGAAAAAGAGAAAGACGTTATCTGCGCTGTTGATGCCTGCTGCAAGCTGTTCTGTACACTTTTGAAGAGAAAGGATCTATTTATTGGAAAGCTCCCTGGTGAGGATGAGGCGATAAAGGGTAAGTGATATGATCTAAAGTTTTCAATTAAACAGTTGAGATGGTAGAAGCTGTTACCTCTAAGATATGAAATAAATCGTTGTAATGTTATGACATTATCACGATCTTCTGGAAGCCTGTGGATTGAGTTTCTGAAACCTTCTGAAGACCATTTGGGAAACGGTCTGTTTTTTTTTTTTTTTTTTTTTTTTTTTTCCCCTGAATGGATCAGGCCCATAGCATCACAGATTCTCCACCATACTGGAGTTTATCTGCTACGTCATCATGTTTTTGTGTTCCAGATGCACCTAGAGTGTTTATAGCTGAAAAGTTCATTCTCAACTGACCTGCAAACTATTCCAATAAAGTCAAACTGGTGCTTAAGAAATGCTTTGTGATGATGGGATACAAAAGGCTTTTGCATTGTTTGTCAATGTTCCAGTAGTTTCGAACTTTCTGACTATTGCTCCTGTTATAGGGATTGGTCATACTTGAATGCCTTGTTCTCTGAGATTTATTATGTTGAAGACTGAGTAAGATGGGCCACTGTATCCCAGAGAAAGACAAAGCCATAAAGAAAATATATATTTTAAATATTTAATAGGACTTGTTAGAGGTTTTGTTGAGGTGCTTTCTGCTTGGAAGAGATGATTTGACTTGGTAGATAATAGTCAAAGGTTGTTGTATTTTATTTAATACAGAACTGCAGTAGTGCAGTTTATTTTTTATGAACGAATGTGATTAGTCACATTTTTAAGATATAAAGTTTAGAATAAAGCAAAAATGTATATAACAATAAGAAGGAAATGCAAAGAGTGAACTCTTATGTGTTTGTTGATTAGATACGATTAGTCAAATGTGACAAAACAAATTTTTAGATTTGATTGGCTTTTGCATCTCCATTTGGGCTTAGTCTTCACAAATGAGCTGTGGGGTGTAGCTCTGTCTCATTTATCACCCCGTTCTAAACGGCGAGCTTCAGGTTATTGGGCCTTCAAGTTGTGTAATTTCTTTTTTATCGTATTCTACTTCAGGTGAGCACAGCCCAGATGAGAAGTACAAGATTTTTATGCGTCATCGTTACAACAACTGTGTGGAGATACTGCTCGAGCATCTCCACCATGAAACGCATGAAGTTAAGGTGAGATAACTTTGGGGTTTAGCAAATTTGATTTATTTATTTTCTAAAAGCAGAACTCCTGTTAGCATTGATGATGGTCTTTGGTTGACATGTTAGATTTACACCAGATGTAACATAACACACACCTTCTGCTTACCACAGAATATGACTTACTTTAGTTATTTTTGGCTGTCATAATTTTGTTTTTGAGTAAAGTAAATATTAAAATGTGACAGAATGAGCAAAAAAGAAAAAAACTGATTAAATCTGTAAGGCAGAAAGTTCTTTTTCACAGCAATTTAAGCAGCAATGTATTATATCTGAATATAGGAGAGTGCGCTGTGCTGCCTGATGAAATTTGCTGCTGAACAAGGACTGCATCCTCTGGAAGACCTGGACTGGAGTGAATACTTCAGCTTCCCAAGAGAACTGATCCAAGTAAGAGTTTTTCAGTACTGTTATTCCTAATTAATATGTCACACCTTCCTTTGCATATGTCAATGAATTCCCATCCTATTATAAAAAGTTGAAAATCCTTGTGAGTGTAGGACACGTTTGACATTTTGGGTTTCTTTTGCTGACAGGCCGTGGTGCACAACATTCTGTCTCAGAGCTTGGACAACTCCCTGCTGATCTCCAGGTTCCAGGAGTTCCTTGAGATGGACGACATACGTTACTATGTGATGAGCTTCATCCGTGACAACGTGGCCACAGTCATGAACAAAAGCAAAGGGGTGGGAAACAGTCAACTTCAAGTTGCATCTTTTATTACTGACATTTTCTTTACTGTGATTTATCTTATTTGAATTTTCTTCTTCTTCTTAGGCTGTCTTGCCCGTATATCAGTCCAACGTGTTCACTCTCATGTTGAACATCAACATGCCGAGCCAGGAGACCGAGCTTACCAACTTTATGGTCAAACAGGAAAGTAAGTTAGAGTTGGCAGCGAACAGCTGGTCTGTTTGAATTGTTTTTACTAACCAGTCACTACTTAGAAGAAGAAAAATGCTCTTTGAGATTCTTTTGAATATCGCTAACCTGAAATTATTTTTCCAGCCAAGCATGAGGATTGGAAGGCTGCAAAGCTGCATGTAAGTGAAATATTTAAACTCTTGCCTCCTCTTGTCCTAAATGTGTACCGACTTAGCAGAGTGATTCTCTGTTTCCCCTTCAGGATCACAAACGTGCCTTTGAGAGAATGTGGTTGGGCTTTCTTAAGTATAAGGTAAATCTTTAGAGTACACATTTAACATTTTGACCTCATTGATTACTTCCTTCATCTCACTGTGTTTTGAAATCTCTCTTTCTGTATATAGCTGCCCAACAGCATGTATAAAAAGATTTTAGTGGTCCTTCATGACTCCATCTTGCCTCACATGAGCAAACCCACTCTGATGATTGACTTTTTGACAGCTGCCTATGATGTTGGTAAGTTTATAACAGAGCAATGGTAGATGTTCTGCGGCAGGCTCTTGTTTTTGGTTTGTTTAACAAACTAAAACTGAAATGGAGTAAGTGAATATACTGTGTTTGTGAAAAACATAAACCTATTGTGGTTCTGTTCTAATAGGTGGGGCGATCAGTCTGCTGGCCCTAAATGGCTTATTTGTCCTCATCCATCAACACAATCTGTGAGTATCGTATAAAAACAAATAAGTTTCTTTCACTGAGTAGTAGCAGAAATGGCAATGAAAAGCGAATTGAGTTCATCTTTAAATGACACATTAAAATGTAAACTCTTTCATTTGGTTTTCTCGTTTTGCTTACAGAGATTATCCTGATTTCTACAAAAAGTTGTATAATCTTCTCGAGCCGTCTGTTTTCCATGTGAAGTACAGGGCACGCTTCTTTCACCTGGCTAATCTTTTCCTCAGCTCCAGGTAACACCATTCCATCTTTGCTGCTTTTCATTTGTGTGTTTCGGCCCATACAAAACACGACATGTAAAGTTCACACTTTATTAAGTGTATGCAATGTCTGTGCTCGTCTCCAGTCACTTGCCAGTCTACCTGGTGGCTGCGTTCGCCAAACGCCTGGCTCGTCTGGCCCTTACAGCTCCGCCCACAGCTCTTCTCATAGTGCTGCCTTTCATCTACAACCTGATCCGGCGCCATCCATCCTGCAGAGTTCTGATTCACAAGCCCAGCTCAGAAGATGGTGAGTCACATTTAGTCTTTATGGCTGCTTGGGTCTGCTCTTAACGTTAAATTATTACTGTTAAAAGCGATGTATAAGAATTTTGTTTGTGCTTCTTAAACACAACAAAGGTTCAATTATTAATTGTAGTCGTTCCTGTTCACGTTGACAGAGCTTCTTGAAGATCCGTATGTGATGGAGGAAGTGGATCCAGCTCTTTGTCATGCCTTAGAAAGCAGCTTGTGGGAAATTAAGGTAAGTTTTCGCACCAAACTGGGGCCAGAGGTTTGGCAACTTTAAGCAATCAGCTCAGAAGAAAAAAGTTAAAAAATAATTTTCATGCTAAAGGAAAGAACAAGCAGTGTAATTGTTCAAACTGACTTTCTCATCCTGTTGTTTTTCAGTGTCATCAGTCATGTAGTTTTATTTAATTTTTTTCACTTTTCATAGTGTTAAAAACTCAGTTTATAAACACTGTCAGGACTTTAAATCATCAGCTGGTGTTATTAATTCTTTTGCATCACAACTTAGAAGTACCGTACTTAAATACAATGAATGGTATTTAAAACTGTGTTAAAAAACAGACTATCATTTAAAACAACACTCAAAAATAAGACTGGTGACACGTACACAAGCTGTAAATGCTGTAGAAGAAGGGTGCAACAGTTGCAAATGGACGTGTTAGCTGGTGTAATGATGTGCCTCTGTGTCTGTTAAAAAACAGCCTTTAAACTTTAGGATGTAACGCTGGAGTTGCTTTGACAGAAAAAAAACTAAAATAGCTTGTTTTTTACATGGATGATTGACTGGCGTGTCATAAATTTCCTTTTTAGTTCTAAAAAATTCTAGAAAGAAATGGTAGTACTACATGGTAAAACACAGATCTGGAAAAGTAGCCATTTTCAGGACGGTAAGTTGCACGAAAGTTCTGAAACACAACTTCCTCATTCCAGGAAATTATGTAACAAGTCTCAGGAAAATAGGTTATAAGAATCTATCCAGTGAAAATTCCTTGAAAATTTCAGGGAGTACAAAGTATATTCCAGATAATCTGGTAAGTTTTGAAAAGTAATCTTTTAAATTTTGGGGGAAATATGAGCTACATTATGTATAGCAACCAGCTATCCCTTCTCCATATCTTTTTACCCTTATGGGTTCATGGAAACGTCCCTGGATTTAGGCCTAGAAAAGACAACAGTGGTAGAAACTGTGTCATCATGCAGTCTTTATTATTTAATGCTACTGAAAAATTGTCCAACCATGATAGATTCCTGTA